CTCTTGGAGCGGACACACCACCCAAACCTTGCCCGGCTGCGTTATTAGGGGCTGCCTGCTGTTGTGTTTAAAAAAAAAAAAATCAGCTCGAGGCTGGCAGAAAAGGTGTCGTGCTGCGCGGGGGAAACTGAGGCACGCACCATCCCAAGCGCAGGAGGCTCTGCCAGCAACCCCCACGCAGGGATGCCGCGCCGAGCACGGCTTTTTTCTGCCGAGCAAGCAAATGGTTTGTCTGCACGCTCAGACGAGGATTTCCAGTGAATTGCAGTGGGCAGAACTGCAACCGTAGGGTTTTTTTGGGGAGAAAAGCTCCCCCGCGTGCGAACAGCCAGCTGCTTTCTGGTCACGCCAGATCTATAAATAAATATTTTTTTAAGATCTAATCGGTCACCGGACAACCCCAGCGTGGTAAAATAGGGTCGCTGAGCAGCTTTCAGCCAGACCTTTGGCATCTCCTGAAGCATTTACAGAATTTTAACAAGACGTAGGGTTGTGGATCATTACACTTAAAAAAAAAAAATCAAAATCCCCGTCTCCTTCAGTGAGTGGCACTTCAGAGCAAAGGGTTGAGATAGCTGAGACCCAGCAGAACTTTTCGGGCTGGGAGAAACCCATCTGGCTGTTCGGAAAGTGATGTTTGTGCCAAAAGGATGCTCTCAGGACCCTGTCTCGGGGCTTTCCCAACACGAAGCCATGCTCAAGGGCTGGGTTTGATTCCCCGAAGCAGCCTGTGCACAGCTCCGGAAAAAAGACGGCGTATGGGCTTGTTCTCTTTGGATGAGGAAAAAGCAAACATCTCATCTCCTTAAGACAACATCTGCATGTTGCTGTTTGAAATAAATAAGGCTGTTGCTCAAAGGCCCTGGAATGATGTCATGCCGGGCATCGTTTCAGGCAACGCCTCGGGGCTCCTTCCTGTGGCTTTGAAACCAACTCAAAAATGGAAAAAAAAACCCACAGTAAAAAAAACTTTTAAAAAAATCCCCCAAACCATCTCAAACCATTAGGAAGGACCAGGGGGCTGAGGAGCAGAAAGCTGAGGCTGGCAGTGAGGGTGGAGAACTCACGATGCAAAAATCTTCCTCCTGTCCGTCAGCCCGAAATAATTCCAGGTGAATTTGCTGCGAGGTGCTAAGCCAGCAAAGAAACTTCTAAGGGAAGGCTCAGAGTCCCGCTGGGCGCTCTGTCTCGCTCCCCTAATCGAATTCAGCCCGGTCGCTGGGACGCGGCAGAAGGCACGGGTGCCCGTGGGCAGCCCCAGGGTCGCTGGGATCAGCGCTGGCTCGGCATCACCCACAGCCAAGACGAAATGATTTGCCTCAAAGGCAGAGGTCACCAACACTCGCTGGGATACCGGGAAAGAGACAGGACACGGTCCCGGATGGCCGCGGGGATGACGGAACTCTTCTGGCAGACAGCAGCCACGGGGGAGAAAAAAAAAATCAAGAAGATCCTGTTCGGCATACGTGCAGCATGGGGAAACCTCCTCTAGAAATGAATCACTTAAGCACTCCCTGACCTGCAAAATGTGGGTACAACAGGTCTCTTAAGCAAGCTAAAGGACATTTTTTTACCCCATCCATCTCCAATCCTGATGTGAGTCATGAAGTTGGGTTCCGGTGGGCGAGGACTGACCCCGAGGCTTTGCTCAGAGAGGAAAGGCACGGCGTGTAAATATCACCATCCTGGAATTAACCAGCACTGACGGCAAGCTCCCTGTGCCCACCTGCTCTGCAAAGTCCCTGCAGGAAGAAAATCGTGTCCCCAGGTGAAAAAGCACTTGGTGACCCCATCACCAGGGGATTTTTGGAGTAGGGGATGTATAAAAAATCCACAGTGACAGGCACTACCCTACAGGTGACTCAGCACTTCACCAGAACTCAGCGATCCCAGCACAGAAACCGCACAGGCTCGTACTCCCTTTTTTTTTATTTTTTAGTTCCCATTTTTAAGATTTAATCATCCAGTAACTCTCCCCCTGCCACCTGCAGAAGCATTTTGAGGATCAGAAACAGCAACGGGACTTTTGGTTTGTTTTTTTTTTGGACTCCACCGACTTCAAGAGGTGCACGTGTGGAGTTTCACCTCCCCAGAAGGAGAAGGGGAGACAGAGCCCATGGAAATAATGAGCCACTCGATTCAGGATTACAGCCTGGGCTTAAAAACCTCTGTGCGGCTGCTCCCACGAGGGGCTGAGCAGCTGCTGGGAAGCTACCGACCATCTGGTTTAATATTGCGCGGAGGGGAGTTCACAGCGGCAACCCAAGGACAACACATCTGCTGGCTTTGCACCTAAAAAATTGAGGCTTGCAAAAAAAAAAAAACCCAAACAAGTTGAGCAGGAAGAAATCCGCAGATGGATTTAGGTTCAAACACCTAAATTTGGGCTCATCCAGGAAAGAGAAAGGGAAGCTAATGAATACATCACCCATCAGCAGCGGGAACAGCCTGTGTTCCTCTGTGTCCGCAATTAGAACGGGATCAAAATGTCATCATTTAACGACAGCGTGAACAGGAAGGACACCTTCCCCTATTAAAACTTTCACTAGCGTGCTGTTAGGAGCGTTTCCTCTGGATTCCCTTCAAAGAGCAGCAAACGAACCTGGTTTTGATTCCACTTAAAATCCGGGACGAGGACGAATCCGTCACAAGGATCCGGGTTTTCGTGGATGATTCGATCGGCTTCGGCTTTCTTCTCCAGGATGTTATACACCCACTGCAAGAGCAATGTGCAATTTATAAACCAGCAGAGAAAAAAAAAAAAAAAACAAAACAAAAGTTTTGGCTATGAAATGGAAGAGAGCATGGATAAGCGACAGAGTAAAATGAGCAGAAAGCATCTTTGTTTTTTTTTTTTTGGCTACCAGCCTGAGCTCGAGCATCCTTTACACCTCCAAAATGCTCTAGCTGAAGTATTAAACTGATGAAGGAGTCAGTTTAGTCCCTAGACAATAAGGCAGCAGAAAAGAGCCGGGGTTTGAAAGCTCAAACCATCATTTTCCCCATCAAGCTCAGGGAGGAAATATTTCGGTTGCCCCAGGCGGGCAGGGAAGACGGCGGCAAGTCCTGCAGACACACCGAACGAGCTGGGTCAGAGGATGGTGAGCACGCCAGACACTCAAAAGATTCAGCCCTTCTGGGGAACTCTGTCAAGAGTTTAATTAATCTCATCAAAGCTTCAGATCATTGGGAACTGACCTGAATATATCCTTAGGGAGAAACCAACCTCTCCTCCCTTGATCTGGGGTTTTTGGGGTTTTTTTGCTGAAATTTCAGGTATTTTCTTCCTAGCAACAAAACCTTAGAGGAGATGAGATTCTCAAAGCGATTTTGTAAATATCGCTGTGCTCCGTGAGCCTGGAAGAAAAGCAGGACAGGAAACTCCGCAGGAAATTAAAGCTTGCCCTTTGGGGTTTGGCGGTTTTTGGTTTGTGTCTTTTTCCATGCCTCCTCTGTTCACAGGTGCCAAGCTCAGTGCCCTGAAGAAGTTCCCCGGTCAGATGAGCTGAATTTTCAACCCAACACTGCCTCATGTGATGGGGCAGCTCATCAGCTGACTGGCTCTTGTTTTTTCCAGCACAGAGGACAACACATGTCCAGAGTCTGGGCACCACAATAAAACCATTATACCGAAAGAATCCAGGCTTTGCATCCTCCAGCAGAAAAACAGAGACGCCTCTGTCGTGCTGCGATATTTCTGTTCCCTTTCACATTTCCTTTTCCACTCGTCAAAACCCGTTAGATCCAGACAAGAAACAGCACTTGTCAAGTCCCAGGGGTCAAGGACTGACTGTGCCGACCGCTGTTTCCCAGCAGATGCTCCTGGAAATGTCTCCATGTGCAGGAATCAGCTCGCGAGCGGTCGGTGGAAGCAGCAGAGAGAGGTCAAGCGATTTTTGGAGCTGCTACACCAACTTCACAGCCTCATGGAGCAAAAGCACAAAAGAAAAACCCCTCGTGGAGGTTGCTGCCTGGTGAAAATACACGCTCTTGTCCTTCTCCAGCTGGCCGGAATGTTCCTGGCTGCTTACAGCAGCAGGAAAACGGTGTGGGAGGCACCCAAGGCCTGGGGTGGCTTGGTTTGGGGTTTAGTTTTGAGATAAAGGTGTTTATTTTTTAACAGACAGCCTCAGCAGAGCCAGGATTTGGTTTATTCCCTCTCTGTGCAGGCTGGTGTGAATTGGTCCCTATAGACTTGATCTCTGAAGAAGAGAGGGAGAGGAATGGTCTAAAAGGACGTAAGATACAAAAAAAGTCCATTGCTGCTGCCTGGGGGCAAGAAGGACACCAAAAGCACAGGCAAAGCCCAAGGGATTATTGGAGATGCAGGGATCTGAGACTCCTAAAAAGCCCAAAGTGCACAAACACCCAGGGAGCCATCCTCAACCAGAGGAGGAACACCCCAGCACAGAAATTCTCCAGAAAACTTGAGAAAGGCGACTTTCTCCGTGGCAAAAAAAATTCTGCAAAGCTGGAGAGAAGGATGGAGAAGAATGGGGACATCGGGGAGAATGAGAGCTCTGTTGAGCTTACCCCAAAGGTCTGACAGCCTCTGCAAAGTCCGAAAATCAGGCAGCATCACAACTCAGAACCTGCAGAAATGATCTGCAGCTGGTTGCGTGCAAGAAGCAGGGCTGAGAGAGAGCCGTACAGCGGAGCTGACAACACGCCGACGGAAAAACCAAGAGGAAAACGGGGGCTGAGTGCTCCCAACTCATCTGCCTCCTCTTCAGAGGAGAGATTTGACAGTTCAGCGTGCTGAAGGAGACCAAAGAGGTTCCGGATATTACCCGTACCTGGATGCTGAAGCTCTGGGACTGGATGAAGGGCAGCGTTATCTTCTGGTAATCCTCCCAGGTTTCGCGGACGAGGTGCACTTCTTGCCGGAGGTATTTCTGAAGGTGTTTCTCCGTGGCGGGGTACACCACTGTGGTTTTTATCTCTAAAAAAAAAAGTTTATTTAGCATCAGAGATAAACCCACGTTACCTCCTTCAGTCCCTGATCAATCTGTTTTCCATTCTGATCAGCTTTTTAAAAAGCACATTTTTAACGTATTTTTAAAAGATACCATGAAAATAGCACAGTGGGGGAGAGCAGACGTGGAAAGCAAACAACCTCTGGGGCTGCCGCTGCTTTTCCCAAGGAAGAACAAGCCAACAACACAGCCAGGGCCTGTCCTTCCAGTTCAGCTGGAGGGGTTTGCCGTCTGAAAGGTTTTTTTTCCCACACTTGCTCCTTTCAGGCATATCAGCAACATCAAGGACAGTCAACAACCGGGCCAGAAACACGCTGCCAGGGGCAGAGACGCGTCTTCCTCCTCCGTGAATCCGAAGCTCACGGGATGTTACGGAGCGAGAAACTTTCTCCAGCCATGAAACCAGACGTGGTGTGAGCTGGGAGCAGCGGGACCAGCACGAGGAGCAGCTCCTTCGCAAAGACATCAAGGGCGCAGGGACGGATGCGGAAAAAATAACACGAGCTGATGAGTTAACACAGCACGGGATGACAGAAGAAAGCTGGGCGATTCCCTGGCACTGGCCGATGAAAGAGCATTTTCTGTTTATTCTAGCAAAAGATAAATAATTTCTGTTTACCTTAAGATTAAAAATCTCTGCGGCGTTAAGCAGGGTGTCATCGTGCACTGCGCCAACCTGGCAGCAATAAATCCTCCCCACAAGTGGTAAAACACTCGGAAAATATCCCGCTCTGGCCGCGATCCGGAGCCTGCCCCAGCTCCAAGGGCAGCAGCAGCGCCCCTGCCTTCCCGGAGAAGAGAGCTGCCAGAAAACCTCACGCAAGGAGGAGAAAAAACCCACCAACCTGGACAAACTGGAGGAGATCAGACCAACGCAAGCGGCTGGGGCGCTGCGAATGCTTCGGCTCGTGGCCAAGATCTGCCACAGTCACAAAAACCACGGGCTGCACGCACCAAGAGTTGTGCTTCACATTTTATATATTCGATATGTGAGCCAGGCACTAAATATAAATATCTGTTTCTTCCTAAAGGCAGGCTTTAGGGTGGTTCCTTTTATTTTTATTTTTTTTCTTTAGTTTTCTGGGTTCGGGTTTTTTTTTTGTTTAAGGTCTGCAGAAGCCAGGAGCCTCTGCCTTTTCATTTCACGCCAAAACCATCTGAACGAAATCCACAGGAAAATGCTGGTAACATGAAATATGAAAATGCAAACCACAAGGGCAGGCTGGTTGGATTCCCACCGTACACATGTTCAAACAAGGTTGTTTTCCAGGATTTGATGAAGCACTTCTAGCAGGATGATGTAATAGAAAGAAAAAGAAAAAAAAGAAGAGAAAAAAAAAGGAGAAAAAAAAAGGAGAGGAAAAAAAGGAGAGAGAGAAAAAAGAGAAAAAGAAAAGAAAAAGGAAGCAAAAAAGAAAAAAGAAAAGGAAAAAGAAAGAAAAAAGAAAAAAGAAAGAAATTTTAAAAAAAAGAAGAAAAAAGAAAAAAGGCTGGAGCTCCTCCACTCAAGTAAAGACCAGTAAAGCACTGGGGAGAAAACAAAAAAAAAAGGGGGTAAAAAATAAGAAGATAGCAGAGGCTGAAACTTCTACAATTTCATTTTCTACCCCAAAAACAAGAGGCAGGACAGCAGCAAAAAGCCCCCTGTGCTGGGGATGGTGGGAACTGCGATGCAAACAGACCCCTGATGGCTCCCCCAGTAGCTCCCAGTTTGAGGGGTGGCCGCTGGTGGTGGGGAGGGCCAGTGAGGATGCTTTCAAGCCTAGTGCAAGATCAGAAAAATCCTTTATTTTCCCTTAATCGGAAAAATCCTGCAGCCGCGGTTGAGCAGATGTGTGGGAGAGGAAAAAGGGGACGAGGCCGGGGTTCGCTAACGATTATTGCTCTTCTAGAGGTCTCATCAACCCTAAAATACCCCAGAAATATTAATTAGCGTCTAACTCTACAGCCAGAGAAATTCTCCGAGCTCGACCGTCCTGCGCGCAGGACGCAAAGCCCCAGCTCAGGAAACATCCACAGCGAGACCGGGCTCGCCACAAAAATCTTTTCCGCTGCTGGCGAGCCGCCACGTTCGGGCTCCTTTTTTTAAAAAGCCGCCCCGCTGCTGGCAGACACCACGGGCATTAAACTGTCACGTACGCCCCGAAACCTACCCTGGGCTGGAAACGGGGTAAAAAACCCGTTGGCCACGGGATGTGGAAGGCTGGGGATTGTCCCCGGTCGTGTCTCGAGTCCCATCGGCCGGCGTGTTCCTGACTGTCAGCCCAGGGAGACCATGAGATGCTTGTGGTTTGGTCTGGAAGTCAGGACGGAGCGTTAATTAATTGGAGGTTAGAAAAAAGGAGGGTTAATTGAAGGAACGTGGAGGAGCAGGAGGGAGAGAACAACCGAGGCGGCAGGTCACCCCACGAAGGGTGTTTGAAGGGATGGTTCCTTGCCTGGGAGAAAAAGCAGCTCGGAACGACCAGAAATAAAACAACTTCTCCACTCCCCTGCTAAAAGCGAGAGCAAAAAAACCACCCAAGACTCAAAAAACCCCAAACCACAGCTCAGTTTGGGGAAGTGATGGGGGAAAAAAAAGAAAAGGGCTGAAGGCAGCTGTGGCCAAGTGGATGAAACGCTCCCTACGGCGCAGGACAAAGGCACGGCGCAGACAGGAGGAGGCAGAGAGAGCTCTGTAGGGCGGTTTTTTTTGGTCTTAAATAGATTTAAAAACGTTGGGGAGCCAAGAGAAGCATGCAGGGCAGGCACAACCTGTTTCAAGCTTTTGGGCAGGGGTGCTTTTTCCTCCCTTTGAGCTTCGGCGTAGAATCCGCCTCATCGACTCACCCATCGGGTGCAGGAAGGTGCCAAGCCCAGGAAACGGCACCAAAAAAAAATCACGCTCGTGCGGTTTTCTTTTCCTCTGCAAACATCTTTCCTGCTGCGTACAGCTCTGCACTGCCTTCCCATCGTCAGGTATCTCCTTTGGTGCAGCCCTAGCTAAATATAACGACAAAAAACCTCACCATTCCCTAATAACAGCGGTTATTTAGGGGTTTTTTGAGTTTTACAATCACACCTGCACCGCCGTCGCAGGGAAACACCCAATTTTAACGCACCCTCGGATATCTGAGGCTCTCCTTATTGAATGAAATATTTTCAAGAAAAAAAAAAAGGCTCAAGCTTGCAAAAGCTCACACCACACGTGTCAAGCGCACCGCCAGGGATTTCTGCCAAGGTTCTCGTCCACGGATCGAGGGTTCGGTTGGCTCCGGCCACGCCAGAGGAAATTTGGAGGTTTTCCAAAAAAAAAAAGAACCACAAACTAAAAAACCAACCCAGATCAAAGGACACTGATAACTCCTAGGGTCCCCCAAAACCCAGCCCTCCTGTTTCTCCTGCATCTACCACTCCAGCCTTTTATTCGAGTGGAAAATGCAAAGAGTTTTTAAATGCAAAGAGTTTTCTTCGTTGGACAAGTGGAGCGTGGAAACACCAGGAGATGAAGCAACCCTCCCCATGCAGCTCATGGAAGTTCCTCCAGCTCCTCGCTGCCTGAAATTAGGGGTTTTTTTGGGGGGGGCTCAGGGATATGGATGACTTCCTGCATGAAGGAACACCTTCCTTCCATGCTCTCCCATTTCTCCCACAATTTCTCCACCCTGTGCTGGAGAGAGAGAGCTGGAGTGTCTCCCGATGCAGGAAATTAAAAAGAAATTTTAAAAAATCTTTCCCCTGACAAGGAGAACCCCACAGTTGGGATTTCCTCCACCAGCACCTCACACTTTCAGGCATAAGCTGCCTCTTAAATCCGCACAATGGCCTTAAAATAATTTTTTCACGCCTGCCTGTGCAGTTACAATCAGAGGGCACGCTCTCCGACCTCTCACAAGTTTCCTTCTCCTTCATCAGGTGGCTTTTTCCCCTTCAAATTCTGCCCGTTTTTAAGCCGGATTGCAAATTTTATTTCCCATTTTAGCCTCGACGCATCACTCCTGGCACCCAGTAAACCCGACGAGCTGAGGAAGACGGGGATGAAATCTTCTTTCTGACCGGTGCCATGCTCCCAGCCCTGAAAATCTCATCTTTAAGCTGCATCAGAGTGAAAATCCCTCTTGCCAGGGCAGAAGGGAGTCGTTCGCTCAGGTAACGTGTTTCTTTTGGCCTCCGTTTCTCTGCCTTCACAACAAAAGCAAACAAAGCACCCGGCCCAGCCTCGCAGGCTCTTTTATCACCCAGACAAAACGAGCTTTCATCCCACGGGGACCTGTGTCGGCTTGATTCCGGGGAGGGAACAGCATCCGGCTCCCTTAAACGAGGAGGTGGGGAAAGGATGAAGGAAAATCTCCACTTTCAGCTATCGAGAAATTCCGGCTGAATGGAAAGTCCGCCCCGGGGACTTTGGGCCACAAAGGCAGCATTGAGAAATGTGCGTCAAAAAAAAACTTAAAAAAGCGGAGGGATGAGGAGGCGGCTCCTCACAACTCACCTGCGGCCGCGATTTCCTCGCTCTGGAGGTTTACAGAGTGAGAAGCTGAGCGCTTGGGGGCTTGGCCGTGAATTCCTCTGAGCGACACTGCGAGCTGGGATTCTTCAGAGAAAATGCTTAAACGCCAAAGTCTGACCTTTTCTGCGAAATATTTTGACTGCATCACGCTACCCAGGTGTAAAGCTGTAAGCACGGGGAGATAAAACCCTGAATCTCTCTGAGCCTGCAACCAAAAGGCCGAGACAGACCCCGTGCAAAGGGCTCGCGGGGTCTCCACACCACCACACGACATCCCAGGGTTTCTCCCAAGCCCTGACACCGTCTGCAGCCTCGTAGGAAACTTCAGTTTGGGTTTATCAGCTGCATTCCTTGCCTCGACTCCCTCCTTGGCCCCTGACTCAGCTCGAAACAGCAATTTCCTTCCCCTCCTGATGCACCAAACCGTTTTCTCCGGTGCCAGCCCAGCTGCCTGCCAGCTGCTCTTGCAAGGTGCCCACAAAAACCAGCTTTTTGGCTCCGAACTCCTGCGAAGGAAGCAGCCTCTGCGCTCCCCGCTCGGAGCTGGAGGGCAGCGTCGGGGTCCACAGTCCCCCCCGGGTCTCCTGAGCAGATGCCAAGGAAGCGGCAGGAAGCAAAGACACAGAAGTATATCCCAGTGGTGCAAAAACTTGCCTTTTAAAAGCAATTTTAAAAGTAATTAAAAATACAAACTTCAGAAGGAGGAAGCCAGAGGCTTCCCCCCCCCCATTCAAACCTGCAAGAGGAACGGCACAACTCTCACCTGAAAGCGCAGCAGCGGGTTTGGTCCGGCGGCAGAGCCACAGCACGGAGGAGAGGCCAAAAAACAACCAAAGTTTAACCAAAGCCCACAGGCAGGATGTGGCGAGACCCAGATTCACCTGGTTTTGCTCCAGCCTCTCGGAAAAAGCAGGACCCAGCGCGGCACCGACAGACTGGTGACCGTTTAACGGCCTTTTCACCCCGGCAAGGGGCTTGGCACTTGGCGTTAGACTTAAATAAAATAAAAAATGTTGGTATCGGAGTAATTCTGGAGTTGTGAAGTGCTGCAGGGAAGTGCTACAAGCGCAGCTGGAGAGAGGCCCAGGGGATTTTAGTCTTGCGATGCCACCTCGTGGGAATCGCCGCAAGCCGCTGGCAGGCTCCAACACAGCAGGGCTCGAGTAAGAGTCTTCAAAACTCAGCTTTAACCCCTTCCCACGCAAGGTATCTGCAACAACCGCAGCGTTACAGCGTTTTCCTGCCAGTGAAATGCGGCATCGTAACACTGCAACCTCTGCTTTCGAGTCCTCAACAGGACGAGAGGAGCTTTGCACAACTCACAAGACAGTGCTTCTTCCTACACCGTGGAAATGGCGCTAAAATAGGAGAATTTTTCGGAATGCGTACCAAACACCCCAAAAATTTAATTCAGGACCACAAGAACTTCTTACTTAAGGTCATCACGCTGATTAATTCTGACCCTGTTAAACCTGCTGGGCTATCGTTGTGTTTATGGAAGCATTGTCGTGTAATTAATCACTGCACTTGCAGAATTTAAACACATATTAGCATTAAATCAAAGCACCCAGCCTGCCGAAAAAACAGCCGCACCTTCCAGCGGCGGCTGCAGAGCATCGCAATCGCAGGACACTTTTCCACTGCCAACAAAAATAAAACACATGAGAAGAAGCTGACACGTGTACTGCAGAGACTGTTTTCAAGGTAAACCTTACGGGAACAGATAATATTTGACCAGATTAAATTACACCACTGGGGGGGGGGGGAGGAAGAAACACCAAACACCACGAAAGGAAAGCTTTCAGCCTCGCACGTGAGGCCGAGAGCGCTCACCGCTCAGCTCCGGGGGAGGATAGAGGTGGTAGGTGCTGTAAATGTCGTTGTGCATCTGCAGCTCCAGCTTCGTGTGCTTCTTCAGCAGGTCCAATACTTTCTCCTCCTGGAAAGGAGTCTTCTCCAGGATGACTACAGCATCTGTCCCCTCTCCAGAAGGGTCGGTCACCTGCAATAAGAAGGCATAAAGCCGTTAGCGAACACAGAGCCAGAGCTGGATGGAGTTTGAGGCCGAGTCCTGAATGTTTCCACCCAGGGATGACGGCAGAGACCTTGCAGTACCTCAATTCTCCTGCCCAAACCCCCCCCAAGTCCAGCCACCCACCAGGCAGCACCCATCCAAAAATAAAGACATGTTTGCCCCGAAGCACAGCAGGACTCTGCTCCCCATCAGGGCACACAGGTAGTT